GTTAAGCACACGTTCGGTCGTGAATGGAGTACTGCTCTTACATATGGGCTTGTGCTGCAAACTGCTACCTGGCACGATTGGTCTCAGTGGAGAAACGTTCTAGGAGGCTCATTGGTGACTTTCGTTTAGCTGAAACCAATCTTGTCAGCCTCGAGCACAGGCGCAGAGTAGCCAGCCTTTCAATATTCTATAGGATGCATTTCGGTCTGTGTGCGCAGGAATTGCACGCTTTAATTCCTCCCTCTCCTTTCCACTATTGGACAACCAGGTAGTCGGCGGGTCTTCATTCCTTAGTTGTCGATATTCCACGCATTAGAACCCAACGGTTTGCTCCTTCTTTGTAATGCGTACAGGAAAGTATAATTTGCCGCCGTAAATTTTTCCGTCCGAATACAATGTGGACGTCTTCAAAACAAGAGTGAATAGGCTTTTTTATCCTAAGATAGTGAGATTCTTAGCGTAACAAAAGACGTTATCTAGGGCTACATTACCACTTACCACCAGGTGGGGTTTTAGTCAAACACTGGCTTATAATAAGTAAAATAAAAAATAATAAATTACTTTTCAAATCCAGGAAGTATCTTCCTGTTCTGTGTAACCAGCTTCATAGCGTTATCACCATAGTTTTTTATATTCAACTTTGACTAGCACAGATTCCTATCACCATAAAGTCCGCCTTTTGGGGCTGTATTATTTTTTAATAAAGAATTAATGAATAAATAATTATAGTCTTTTAAATTATAATCTGAAAAAAAATGAGTACGATAGAAGGCATTTTTTATAGTTTTAATAAGTCTTTATAATGTTTATTTAAAAAGTTTACACTTTGACTACATGCACGAGTTACGCTTATTTAAGTTATCATGAAACTTCTTCAACATTAGTAGAAGACGATCTTTGACGTTCTATTGGTATTATGTCCTGGTTATGTACAGTAACAGGTAGATTACCTGTTTTAGAATATTTAATAAAACCGTTTTCAACCACTTGGGATTGATTGCGAACATTCATTTGATATAAGGTAACAATATTTATATAGATATATTTGCTTTAAATTACTAAAATATCTCAAAGGAAATCTATTGCTTATGTTTTAAACAAATACTTTTCTGGATTAACAATCTCCATTGGGTTTTAATAGATACTAATAAAATGATAAAGCATTAAAAATCTTAATGTACTACGTTGAAATAAGCTATTACTTACGTGTTTTACAAATAGCTTATTTTATAAATAGCTTACTTCTCTTATGTTAGTAAATTACCTTCTAATAAAAAACTTGTATTAGACGGTAATTTACTAACATTATACCAAAAATTCTTGTATTATGTAACATTCTCGTACGAGTATAATGTAATGTTAACGGTTAACAGGAAAACTTATAGTATATATATCACATATTAAAGAAAAGGACAATGATCGTAGACTCATGTGTAATAGTAACCTACGAATGGAATGCTAAGTATCATATCGTGTAGATATAGCTCCTATGGGTCACACTTATGATTGCCTGCATACTGACCAGTTGAGCTCGCTCTGCCGCTGCGAAAAGCTACAATGTGTAACAAACTATAAATATTTGGGGTTGGTTATAGATAATCGCTTTTTATGGGACTTGCATGTTGAATTAGTGTAGTATTAGGTAAACCGAATCATAAAATATGTTGTGAACCTAGGAATCACGTATATACTGTATTATGCCCTAGCAGACGCAACGATCGGATATGGCTTAGGTGCATATGGACTTACATTCCCAACATAATATCTTAACAAAATAAAGACTTCACAGATAATATTCTTAAAAGATATTAGTTGATCCTAAAACGAAAAATGGTCTAGATAAAACATATGAAATGTTATTTAAAATTTGCAAAATTATTCCCATAGACATGAAAGTAAAATCCATCATCATATTAGAACAGCATGGTATGGTAAAATTTAAAAACCTAAGACATATATAATGCCGAAGCTCCAAATTACTCAAAGGAGGATATATCTTATACCTAGGGCTGAAAATTACTTTGGACGGCGTACAAGGCAAAGGATAAAACCAACTTTGTGTAATGAGGTAGCGGATATATGTGACGAAAGTGTAACTAAGTCGCAACTCAAATCCATATTGAGGAAACAATATCTGTCGTTGTGTCCATAGTGGTGAATGTTTCTTTAATTATTTTTGTGTTAATTTAAGTATTTATAAGTACCAGATATTGTTATTAAGGAGTGTGAAAGGATAAATTGTTGCGTTGCCGACAAACCGGCTTACAGTTTGGCAAAATTTAAAATGTAAATAATGTACACTCTTTATAAGAATAAATTAAAAAAAGATGATTGAAAGTGATTTTTATGTGTTGATGCCCATAACATGATGATGATGATGATGATGATGTTTAAATTCCCTATATGAATTTATTAAGAGATATTACTAAGAAAACGATAAATGACTCCGGCCTGGGAGTCGAACCCAAGACCTTCATATCATTAATTCGATATTTCTTTAAGATTCAACTAAGCATTTTCTTATCGGAATATTGTTGCTTGATAATTTGCTTTTTAGAAGCTATTCGTAATCGGTTAACTAATAAATTGAAATATTCTAATAGGCGCGTCGCCAACAATCTCCCCCCCGTGCGTCAGCACCATCATTTGGGAGGCGTCACGGGTACCAGGACTATTATTCTGGATGTAGGTCTCCTCAAGATACCTGTGCTAGTAATGACGTCAACCACTCTGGTGTGACCGTCTGGTCCCGGTAGCGTCCTACTAATCTTGCCTTTCGGCCACGTATTTCGTGGCAATGAATGATCTATTATCAAGACAATATCACCTTCTTTAGGTTCCATGAACTTTCCGTTATTACCTGTTCGAGGTATTAAAATAGGCATGTATTCTTTTAGCCATCTTGTCCAAAAATGGTTGGCTAACCTTTGTGCAGATTTCCAATTGAGTTGACCCGTCAGATGTTGCTCTAAAAATAAAAAGGTGGTCGATCACCTTATGAGCGTCCCAGAAGAAAATGATTGGATGTCAAACCGTCTTCAGGACTATCCATACTGAATGTTACCAGAGGTCTGGAATTTACAGTATGCTCTGCTTCCAAAAGCAATGTATGCAGAACCTCCTCTCGCTACCTGGCACGATTGGTCTCAGTGGAGAAACGTTCTAAGAGGCTCATTGGTGACTTTCGTTTAGCTGAAACCAATCTTGTCAGCATCGCGCACAGGCGCAGAGTAGCCAGCCTTACAATATTCTATAGGATGCATTTCGGTCAGTGTGCGCAGGAATTGCACGCTTTAATTCCTTCCTCTCCTTTCCACTATTGGACAACCAGGTAGTCGGCGGGTCTTCATTCCTTATTTGTCGATATTCCACGCATTAGAACCCAATGGTTTGCTCCTTTTTTGTAATGCGTACAGGAAAGTATAATTTGCCGCCGTCAATTTTTCCGTCCGAATACAATGTGGACGTCTTCAAAACAAGAGTGAATAGGCTTTTTTTATGCTAAGACAGTGAGATTCTTAGCGTAACAAAAGACGTTATCTAGGGCTACATTACCACTTACCACCAGGTGGGGTTTTAGTCAAACACTGGTTTATAATAAGTAAAATAAAAAATAATAAATTACTTTTCAAATCCAGAAAGTAACTTCCTGTTCTGTGTAACCAGCTTCATAGCGTTATCACCATAGTTTTTTATATTCAACTTTGACTAGCACAGATTCCTATCACCATAAAGTCCGCCTTTTGGGGCTGTATTATTTTTTAATAAAGAAATAATGAATAAATAATTATAGTCTTTTAAATTATAATCTGAAAAAAAAAATGAGTACGATAGAAGGCATTTTTTATAGTTTTAATAAAGTCTTTATAACGATTATTTAAAAAGTTTACACTTTGACTACATGCACGAGTTACGCTTATTTAAGTTATCATGAAACTTCTTCAACATTAGTAGAAGACGATCTTTGACGTTCTATTGGTATTATGTCCTGGTTATGTACAGTAACAGGTAGATAGCCTGTTTTAGAATATTTAATAAAACCGTTTTCAACCACTTGGGATTGATTGCGAACATTCATTTGATATAAGGTAACAAAGATATATTGCCTCTTTACAAGAACAACGTGATATTTTTTAAACCACAACTTTACAGGACAGCAATTTTAAACATTTAAGCGTTGATAACTTCTAAAATATTGATAATTTTTTATCGGAAAACAATTAAATTGTTGCGGTAATTAATGTGCTTTCTGAAAATAAGCAAAAAAACTCAGTGCAATAAGAAATAAGTAAAAAAACTGATTTAAAAAAAACACAGGCAAACATGTCACGTTTTTGATGAAAATTTGTCACAAAATGCTTGTAACATATTGATATATCACATTGAAAAGGTTAAATTTAGGTGTAAGGCTGTGTGATAAGTTAAATAAAACACAGTATCAAAATAATGATCTTGTATTTAAAAAATACAAATTTACGAAAACAATAGCTTACTTACACCATGAAATTAGTTTAAGGCACAATAATCAATAAGAGATCAATCAATCACATAGTACTTAGTACTCGCTTTAATTAAAATTATAAGGTAACTAAAAATTACTTCCATACAAATAAAAAAATAAAAAAGTTAACTGTACTTAAAGTTACAGTAATTAACGTCTTCTAACACAATTATGGCACACAGTTTTATAGTACTTAGAAATTCAAAATAGGAACATTGCTGTCACCCTTCATAAACATAGAATCACAAATTCTCTTAATACTAATAAAAAATACTATCATTTTAAATGTAGCAATTAAATATTTCTAAAAAATACAATTCAAAAAATCTTTGTACTTAATCAGTCTTATTACAACGATTCGTAAAATGGCTTGTGGTATCTAGGAATGAGGTTTTTATTGACAAAATCCATGAGATCAGCTTTTTTTCTCACTGCTAGTCCAGGTTTTTGAAGATAGGCCTTTTGCAAATCTAAATGAATGCTTTGGCTATTACGATTTCTATTTTTTTTCACCACCTATAGCTTTCTTGAATAATTCGTCAGCGTATGATTCTTTGAAAAATATGGCATCGGGATCAGAACTTTGAACTTTAATCATCTTGAGTCCAGCCAGTTTCACAGTATTATTGTCTTCATCTTTCATTATCGCAAAGTTCATTTGAGTGCATATACTTTTCCAATCAAAGAAATCATCGAAACACATTTCATTGACATGAAATGGCTCGCTTTTATTCCGTGCCGCCTTTATAGCCCCGATAAAAGCGTCAGGTGTATACATTGGTCCTGATCTCAGTTGCCTTTTAACTTCTCTCTCTATTTGAGGGTGAACTGAATCGCCCTCGTTCTGCGTATGTCCTTTAACGAGGTATTTGTGTGTAATTGATTTAATTGATTATTTGAACTGAGATTTGGCAGAGTTTTGACTGCGTAAGTGTACATTGAGATCATAAACTTTTTTTTTGCTGTCCGGCATAATTGTCCGAATAAAAGACTACATAGAGGTCTTCAGCCGTTGCGGAAATTTTCTCCAGGTATTTGTAAACACAGGTAGCTATTTCGTTGACACCTCTATTTGCGTTAGACTCATCCCATACATAACTCTCAACTGAATTATTTTGTAAGTTATAAATTGTTAAATTAAGTACATTTAGTTTTGACTTGTAGTAAAAGACTGAGACGTCTCCTTTGGGGCATTGAAACACTGCTTGAAGATCATAGACCGCTACTAAAATATTTTTGTTGTTCTTATCTTTTTCTTTTTCAATACGAGACAAATTCTTTTCCTTAAGGTGTAATTCATAATCTTGTTTCTTAGATTCTTTCTCTTCATCTGTAATGTTTTTATAGGCTTCGCATATATCGCATAAATCCTTTTTAGGAGTGAAAAACGAAATGTTAAAATCTTGTGTGAAAATAAGATAAAATGTAATATAGGTTCCATATGGGACGTTTTGGGATTTGCATTATTCCACATAATCTCTATGAAGATCTGTGACAGCTTTACTACCATCAATATAATTTCGTTTTGAGTTAGCCCTGATATAATGTGACTCAATCTTTGGTACAGACTCAATAAACAATTTGATGCCATTTTTAATGCTTTCGTCCACTGCATAATGGATTGAATGAGTACCTCGGTTATCTTTCATGAAAGAAATATTAGTGTTTCTATTTTTCTTTTTCAAAGCAGTCTCTATGGGTCGATTATTAATCCCCAAAGTATTTTTGAAAAACAATTTACAAACTCTTGTTTTTTCACCCGAAATAGTCAAAAAGAAAGCGTTGTTGTTGTTTCTAATAGTTGCTACATTTCCATCCGAATCAAATTTAACGTAACGTTGTTTTGGGATGACTATGTCTACGTTATTAGCAATAAACGTCCATTGTTTTTCTATTGCACCTAAGCTCCAATAGTCATTTAAAATTGTCTGTCTTTGCTCCTCTGTATTTAGATTTAGACCCACATTTAAATTTACATTTATCTTTACAAGAAGGTTTCAATTCACGACTTGGCATGTTTCTTTTTGATTTGGTAGATTGATAAGGCTTACCACTATTTCTTAGTCGTTTAGCTACATTAACTTTCCAGTTTGCTTCATTTAGTCTTCGTTTTTTACCAGTTTTAGTTGGACTAGAATTATACACTATTGGACTTGCAGCATTGCAGCATCGTTGAATACTATAGCATGTTCGTTTGTAGACGAAAGTGGTTCCTCGTAGTTTTCAATGTTTATTGAAACCATAATAGATGTTAGCAAATTATGATCATCCGAAATATTTGTATAGTTGGTAGTGATATTTTGTTCCTCGGCAGTATCAGAAGAATACTCAGCATGTTTTGTTGGTTGGGCTTCATAATCAGGATCCTTTACCGAGTCGTCGCTGTCTGAAACGTTATAAATGTAATCAATTTCTTGAAGTGTAGTGGTATTGACTTTATCAATTACCCTCGAATTTTGTGAGACTAGTGGGATATAAATTAACTTACCTTGATACATAGATGGGCCACTGCTTGAAGAACTGCTAGAACTCGAAGAACTGCTAGAACTAGAGGAACCGCTGCTACTAGTCGAATTACTACGAGGTCGGATGGAATTTAATGCAATGTCTTTGTCTACAAAAAGAATTGAAATAATGAAATTATAGGAACATAACTAAAAAAAAATATCAGTACAAGTAATAAAATACCTTCTTTTGATGTCTGCAATGTATGGGTCGAACTTTTGGCATTTTCATTCTCGTCTTGTGTTAAAATATCTATCTGAGAGTTTGAATGACTTAGTTGTACACTTAAATTATTTTTAACACCTGTAGCTAATTGAACTAACATCCTAGATCGTGATGCCATCTGAAAAACAAATTCGTAAAAGTTACTTTATTTTAGCATGTATAATGTAACATTTTAGCATAATATAAACCCAAACTTAAAGGTTTTCAAAAATAATGATGTAAAATAAAATAACCCATAGTATTTGAAAACGATTCATCAACAACATGGTTACATTCAAAGATATCACAAAGAAAACTTGTAACTTTTTCATCAATAATGTGTCAATATTCACTATCTCATTCTAAATACTCACGAGTTTTACAACAAAAACGAGTTAAATTAGTACTATCACGTTATTCAAGTTAAAATAAATAACAACAGGAAACATACCTTTGCACTAAAAACGTGGTATACTCGTGATGCCACGTTTTTTGTGAAAAGCAGGAGCACTTCACTCGTTTCGCGTGCAGGGCAAACAACGCGTCGCGTTGTCGAAGTCGTGCGCCACACCGAAAGAGACAACGTGATAACACAATTTGCCACGGTCGTGTCGTCTCTTTCACTAATAGCTCCTCGAACATTCACTTTTAAAATGCCGCGTTTTTGTAGATAATAAAATTCGACATCGCGGTTTTGAATATCAAATAATAAAAAAATACGTTTTTATGAGATGTCACGTTGTTCTTGTAAAGAGGCGATATTTGCTTTAAATTACTAAAATATCTCAAAGGAAATCTATTGCTTATGTTTTAAACAAATACTTTTCTGGATTAATAATCTCCAATGGGTTTTAATAGATACTAATAAAATGATAAAGCATTAAAAATCTTAATGTACTACGTTGAAATAAGCTATTACTTACGTGTTTTACAAATAGCTTATTTTATAAATAGCTTATTTCTCTTATGTTAGTAAATTACCTTCTAATAAAAAACTTGTATTAGAAGGTAATTTACTAACATTATACCAAAAATTCTTGTATTATGTAATATTCTCGTACGAGTATAATGTAATGTTAACGGTTAACAGGAAAACTTATAGTATATATATCACATATTAAAGAAAAGGACAATGATCGTAGACTCATGTGTAATAGTAACCTACGAATGGAATGCTAGTATCATATCGTGTAGATATAGCTCTTATGGGTCACACTTATGATTGCCTGCATACTGACCAGTCGAGCTCGCTCTGCCGCTGCGAAAAGCTACAATGTGTAACAAACTATAAATATTTGGGGTTGGTTATAGATAATCGCTTTTTATGGGACTTGCATGTTGAATTAGTGTGTAATAGGCTTAGGGCAGTATTAGGTAAACCGAATCATAAAATATGTTGTGAACCTAGGAATCACGTATATACTGTATTACGCCCTAGCAGACGCAACGATCGGATATGGCTTAGGTGCATATGGACTTACATTCCCAACATAATATCTTAACAAAATAAAGACTTTACATATAAGATTCTTAAAAGATATTAGTTGATCCTAAAACGAAAAATGGTCTAGATAAAACATATGAAATGTTATTTAAAATTTGCAAAATTATTCCCATAGACATGAAAGTAAAATCCATCATCATATTAGAACAGCATGGTATGGTAAAATTTAAAAACCTAAGACATATATAATGCCGAAGCTCCAAATTAATCAAAGGAGGATATATCTTATACCTAGGGCTGAAAATTACTTTGGACGGCGTACAAGGCAAAGGATAAAACCAACTTTGTGTAATGAGGTAGCGGATATATGTGACGAAAGTGTAACTAAGTCGCAACTCAAATCCATATTGAGGAAACAATATCTGTCGTTGTGTCCATAGTGGTGAATGTTTCTTTAATTATTTTTGTGTTAATTTAAGTATTTATAAGTACCAGATATTGTTATTAAGGAGTGTGAAAGGATAAATTGTTGCGTTGCCTACAAACCGGCTTACAGTTTGGCAAAATTTAAAATGTAAATAATGTACACTCTTTATAAGAATAAATTAAAAAAAGATGATTGAAAGTGATTTTTATGTGTTGATGCCCATAACATGATGATGATGATGATGATGTTCCCGCACGTCACTTTCGGTTGGGAACAACTTCTAAACAACTAAACAAATTTAGAAATCTATCATTATCACTATCATTTTTGGTTAAACCCTTAGACCCGCAGCGTAGTAGACTCAACTAGATATTGAAGTATCGTACATACTTATATGAATACACTTGTACATAACATCGATGATGATCATGTTCCCGGGGTCAATTTTGGTTGGGAATAACTTTTGAATAGACTTATAAGTTATTATTAGTGTTTGGCTCTAGGTGAGTTATGAACTCTGGACCCGGGACGTAGTAGACTCGTCTGGATATGGATTGTGCTTAACGTAATAAACATTTTTTGGATTAAGGAAATCATAACATAGAATAATGTAATTAAAAGTGTTTCGTGGTTTCGAATTATGCAAAATGTATTATTTTTGAAAAGGAACCAACGGCTGTGTAAACGTTCAACTAAGAAACAGAAGGGAGGAATCGAGGCTTCTCTCGATCCGGCCTCCTATAACGCCTACGTTGGGTTCGGGAACAACGAATGTGATCTCCGCAACGGAGTAATACTCAAGGGCGATAACCTCTTCCTTTTCAGCAAATAGGTTCTGACGGGGATTACGGGTCTTCCGAAGTCGTCCCGGTCCCAACGCCTTAATTCTTCGATGTGGACTGTATAATTTTGAGGGATGAATTTCTTGGGAATAAAACAGCAATTATCTTCAAACCGTTCCGTGAGAGAGTAATTACTTTTCCCTATCACTTCCCTACACTTTTTCTTTCTTCTTCTTATTGACTGCTGATCTTGCACTTTTCCCGAAGTTTCTCCGAACTTCCCCGAAACTTCCCTGAACGATTCACGAACGATTCCCGAACTTTCCCGAAGGATTCCCGAACTTCCTGAACGAATTGCAAGAAAACCCGTTTACTGAGCTACCTCAGAGCTATACGCGAAAGTGAGCCGCGCCATTCGCGCGCTTGCGCAACTCAATTACATGAATTTGTTCTATCACTCTCTCACGGTTTACTTAATAACTTTATTTGCATAAGTCATACATTATCACAATTTACTTGTATAGATAGCGCAAAAAAATATCTATACTACGATATACATTACATTTTCATGTCACAAAAAACCTTTTATTTATTTAACAAAATATGCCTATTTTACTCACACGTTCGAAGTTGAAATTTCTTAAATATTTAACATAGAAAGTTAAAACAATGTTTTGCACTTGAAATTATACATATTTTAACTAATACAATAGTTTAATTTACATTTTTCCTATTCATTTCACTATTAAAACACTTTTAAATTTCTTATACAAAACTATCATTATTTCACGTATTCACAGGAATTTTCACATAAAAATAACACAGAATTCACTTTTTTTTACACGTACAATCAATCTGAAATGTTTCACAAGTCATTTTACATAAATTGCTGAAATTACAAATATTTAAATTTTTACATATTTGGCCTCCTAAGTACGTGGCTAGCGTGCGTCCGTGAACTCACACTATTTGAACAACTAACTTTGCACGGCTATCGACTATCAGAAAAATGGAAAGTCTAATATATACCAATATCAACAATACTAAGGTGAATCAATCAATTCTCAAACTGTAGGAAACTATTTCTAATCAGATTCTTATCAGTTATCATATCTCTTATCAGATAACAATATAAGTGAATGTTTTCATAAATCAATCATAGCAAATAGGCATTTGTTTTCATACAAAACATATCAAACCCATATAAGACAATACTTATGCAATTAATTTCCATTAATTCTACTTATGCTCACAAAGTGATCATCTCGACCGGGGAATGAATCCGATCTCTAACTTTATTTTAATATTCCTTTAAATTTACCTCATTGGAAAGATGATTTCAACCGGGGAACAAATCCGGTAACATAATTTATATCTTAAAAATTCCCTATATGAATTTATTAAGAGATATTACTAAGAAAACGACAAATGACTCCGGCCTGGGAGTCGAACCCAAGACCTTCATATCATTAATTCGATATTTCTTTAAGATTCAACTAAGCATTTTCTTATCGGAATATTGTTGCTTGATAATTTGCTTTTTAGAAGCTATTCGTAATCGGTTAACTAATAAATTGAAATATTCTAATAGGCGCGGCGCCAACAATCTCCCCCCCGTGCGTCAGCACCATCATTTGGGAGGCGTCGCGGGTACCAGGACTATTATTCTGGATGTAGGTCTCCTCAAGATACCTGTGCTAGTAATGACGTCAACCACTCTGGTGTGACCGTCTGGTCCCGGTAGCGTCCTACTAATCTTGCCTTTCGGCCACGTATTTCGTGGCAATGAATGATCTATTATCAAGACAATATCACCTTCTTTAGGTTCCATGAACTTTCCGTTATTACCTGTTCCAGGTATTAAAATAGGCATGTATTCTTTTAGCCATCTTGTCCAAAAATGGTTGGCTAACCTTTGTGCAGATTTCCAATTGAGTTGACCCGTCAGATGTTGCTCTAAAAATAAAAAGGTGGTCGATCACCATATGAGCGTCCCAGAAGAAAATGATTGGGTGTCAAACCCTCTTCAGGACTATCCATACTGAATGTTACCAGAGGTCTGGAATTTACAGTATGCTCTGCTTCCAAAAGCAACGTATGCAGAACCTCCTCTCGCGGGCTCCTTTCTTTGAGCGTAGCGGTCAACGCAATTTTAATTGATCTTACTAACCTTTCCCAGGCGCCACCCATGTGCGGTGCTCCCGGAGGTATGAATTTCCATTTAATATATTTTCTAAATGACTCATTTTTCATGCCCTCATAGCATTCTTCGCATGCTTTCAATAATTCTTTATTCGCAGCTTTGAAATTTGTCCCGTTATCGCTGTATATAACGGCTGGTTTACCTCTTCTGGCGATAAATCGCCTCAACGCCATTATCATTGACGCTGGTGTCAATGAGGCTGCTAATTCCAGATGTACTGCTCTGGTGGTCAGACACGTAAATAAAACACCCCAGCGTTTTTCGTGTCGCCTTCCTATAGTCACACTCATAGGTCCGAAATAATCCACGGCTGAGCACGGCTGTGGTTCATGATGAGCTATTCTCTCTAGAGGAATATTTCCTTGTGGCACGTTCTGCGGTTTAGACCTGTATGTCCTGCACCACTGACAGTGATGTGACACACTTCGTACTACATTACGCAAGTTCAAGACATAAAATTTCTGGTTCACCTCATTCATCACCGTCTGGTGATTGGCATGTCCAAAATGATGATGAACTTCTCTAATCATCATTTTAACGATTTCGTGTTTACCGTCTAATACGACAGGTTTTCTACTTTCCTCGGTCAAATTAGATTTAAAAGGTAAACGCCCATTTAAACGGAGTAAGTTATCTTCTATTTCCATAGATAATTTACTTAAGCGTGAACTTCTTTCAATGCTTTTGCCTGCTTTCAAGCATTTTATTTCCAAATGAAAACACTCGT